TGTGGTAATCAAATTTCATTCCTTCTTTAAATCAAAATACAGACTGTAAATATATATAAAACCATAAATGTGAACTGTGGAGAAATAAATGAATACGGAAGCGATCCTCCCAGTTATGAACACTTCTTCAGCAGTAGTGAAAATAAGGTTTGTACAGGATTTGAAGCTATGAAATCTGTGATACCGGTGCAGCGCTCCACCAACTGAGCTAACAAGCCAATTGGGAGCTAAACCCTAAGCTTTTACAGTTGGATAATGCACTATTGAATTAGTCAATGCTTTGTTAAAGTCAAGGTCTAAAACAAAAAAACAAAAAAACCCTGCTTTCTTTGCAAACTGTGCCTCGCCGGAGACCACACCGTTCCTTGGTAGCCGAAGTTGATGCTAAGAGACGGTGTGGTGATCAAATTTCATTTGCTCGCTTGTTATCTGACCGCTTACTCTGTTGAAAAGAACCCATTTTAGCGAGTTATCCATTTCTAGGTTTACTGCATAAGGGAAGCCCAAGGCTATACATTGCATTTCCGAACGCCCGATCCAAGAAGCGAAAAAATCCAAGCTCCAAAGTGACCGTGTTTCTGCAATTTGGAGTCACATGCCTGCATGTGGCAAAACCGATTATGCCAAACGTATCACGTGATGCACACCGGAAATAAGGTGGGGGTATTCTTGTTGAAAATTTGACCTATTTTTTCATTCCTAAGAGCCGTCATAAATATTCCCATACAAGCTATCGTCATGACTCTTATTTCCCAAGATGATCATCTCACAGCTGGAGCTTGGGCTGACTGTGATTAAACAGGCTGCGAATTAAGTTATCCAACTGATGTTTCAATTAAAAGAGGAAATGAAATTTCGTTACAATTATCCATTAGTGCGCCTCTGTTTGACGAAACGGATCACTAACCAACAAATTGGCCATAACAGTCTAAAATCTAACAAGAAGGAATCGAATATTACTCTTTTGTTACAAGATTTGAGACATCTTTTAAATTTAATTAAAGTTTAAGTTGCAAATACACGCGCACTAAGCATGGACCATTTGTTCAATATCACACCATGGTTCACGTGGGATATCACATGATAGTTCACGTGGTATTATCATTAATAATGAGCGTTTGTTTGTTCTATCCAAGCCTTTAACATCAATCCAC